GCCCTGGTGACAATTGGGCAGCATTCTCCCCCCTTTCAGTCCCTCCTCTGTCCCCCTGCCCAGTCCGATTTCCTGTAACACTGGCAGGACTGGGGGGGAAGCTCGTCCATTTCGCTTCCGCAGGGCCCAATTTCCACTGCGGTGAAACTGACCCGATCAAAGGAAAAGCCTTGTTAATTTCACTGGCTTCTCTTCCTGCTCCGACAGGTATTTATACGGACACCGGCACTGGAGCATATCCCATTAATATAATAATAGTACTAATGCCAGGAAGATGTACTGGGGGAAGTGGAAAAGGCTTTCCCCATATCGTGTCAGTTTCACTAGAGTGTGGAAGTGAAGGAGAGGTCAATGCAGCCCACATTCTTGGACAAGGAGGCCCTGGAGGAAGGAAAGATCTCACACCTAATCCGAGTGCCTATTCAGAGCGAGCAGAGAGGTTAAAATATCTCAAGGCTGTTCTTAGAAGTATTCAGCTGTACAGAAAAACGAGTTCTGGATCTTCATGAGATTAGCTGCATTTAAAAAAAAATCAAGCTATCACTGCATTTTCAGATACCTGAAAGACTGTCCAAGACCGGGGTCCTAACCGTCAGGAAGCATTTCCTGGCATCCACCTTGACCTTGGATTCCTGAGCTTTGCTCCATTGGAACATGTCCTGCCTTCCCCTGCAGGGAAAACAGGTCTCTACCCACCTCCGCGTGGCCCCTTCTGTCATCTAATGTAAAAAATATTGTCCTCTGTACACCAACACACACCACACACGAGAGGGTTGCCCCTCCCTCCCATCACGGCCCAGAGGGCTGTTGGGTTGGAGCAGCTTTCGCCACTGCTAGGAAAAGCTTCCCAGATTCAGCGGTAAGCTGAGCTTTGGAGCAGTGGCCGGCTTCAGATGTCTACATCCAGGGAAGGCCAGCACATGGTCGGAGAACCGGGAATGCAGCAGCAGGGCCCAGCTCCAACTTTCGCAGGGCTGTCTGAGCATGTACATATTTGGATCAAGCCATGGAAATCAGAGGTGGGTTCTGCTGCTGTGATCCAGAATTTACCTCCATGCATGGGATCTCCATGGATTAAGCCCCTCGAGGGACGGTGGTTTCACTGGGGCCTGATTTTCAGTTTGCTGAGTTGCGAAGTGATGGGACAACTCTGTATGGAAAGAGATCTACAGCGGCCCTCCATCGCAGAGCTGGCAGAAGAGGCAGAAAAGGGTGAATTGTGTCGTGGAAGGAAAAACACCGTAAGTACCGCCACCACATTAGCACACCCGGTTATTGCAAAACTTGTTCATTCAGGCAGGGTCGGAGTGTACCAAAAGTGAGAACAAGACAGAGGCAGAGGGCGTCTGGGGAGCAGCCATGGCCCAAGTCCAGCAGTAGGCACAGCAGCTTCATTCCAAGGAGAATCGTGTTGTTTTTAGTGCCTCGTGAGTCAGTCCCAGAATTAAGAGCATGCCCGAGCATGAAGGGTTAACATCCCGGGCCCACAATCATGAAGGCCGATTGGCGTCGCAGCCCCAGCAGAACCTTAAGAGGTTCCCCCAGACCACTTCCTCTCTTAAAGGCTGTGCCAAGCACTGGGGTCATTCGGTTACTGGGTTCACATCCTCCTTTATCGTTGTCCAGTGGTGTGTTGTCTCAGTTTCAGCAACTGTTCCAAAAGCAGAAGGAAAAGGGAAGGAAGGAAGGAAGGAAGGAAGGAAGGAAGGAAGGAAGGAAGGAAGGAAGGAATTAGTAGTCAGGCAGCGAAAGAGCATGCAAGAGGTGGCGATAACATTATTAAGCAGCATTAAAAATGATGCACAGACTCTGTTCATTAAGCACAGAGGGCAGGCGTTGGTCGTCACTGTGATAAGAATTGGCAAACTACTCAAGGAAAAAAATCTCACCCTTCAATCTGACGTGAACACCCACCACTCCAGGTGGCATTCGTGGCTCAGCCACGGAAACCCCTTTGTGGAAAAAGCCTTCGGAGTAATGGCTGGGCTACAGCAGAAGAATGGCCAGGAGATTATTAAAGCTCAACAGGTAGTGTAGACTCCTGCTATGGTGTCCACAAGCAAGGAGTTTTTGGGAGGCCTGCTAAGATCTTGCAAATAGCACAAGATTATGCAGGCAGGCAGAGTCTGAGAGATGGTTACTTCAAAGCTACACACTTTTTGGATGTTTCCATGAGAAATGAAACTATTTTCCATCCTGAAGTTGCTTCTCCCATCCCCTACTGTCATTTTCCAGGACAGCATCTAGAAACAGGAGAAAGCAACCTACAAACACCTGGTCAAGCAAGCTACCTTTTGATACCTGCTTAGGGAGGTTTGATACCTGTGCAGGTGCCTTGGAGGCCAGGGGCAGTCTCCAGGCCTATTCAGGGAGCTGATCGGACATGGAAAATGTCTCATAAACTCGCAGTTACTGGTTGCAATTTCTCATTATACGCTGTACCTGTGTTCCAACTCTGCAATCAATAAATGCCATCTTTCACACAAGGGATCTTGCTTCCTTTGGGTATTCCATGGAATCCACTTGGCCGGGATCCAAAAGAGTGGATCAGCCCCCTTTTCATTGTACATCAGTCAGTGTGGGCTCCGTAGTTCCCTGTGCCTCGCCATGCCCCCCACGCTCCCCCGGGTCTACTGGAGATGTCCCTTTGCTGCAGAGGCAGGTGCCCATAGTCCGGAAGAAGGTGTGCAACACCATCAGACCCGGGTTCAACATGGTTTGAAGTCTGTTTGCCAGCATGAAGTGGAATGACATGAAAGCGGACCCTGAATGCGTGGGGCTGAGCAGAAATCATCATACAGCTACTTCAACGTTTGCCCGTTTGCATGAGGAAGTGGCCAGAAGCAGGCTGGCCAGAAATATGGCGGGTGAACAAGATGGCGACCTCTTTTTGTGAGACCCAAGGATGGAGTTTGGAACATTTTGGGATCTGGGCCCAGTGGGCCCTGACCCTGGTGTGGCCATCTGACTCTGACCTTGTGACTGCGGGGGCTAATCTTGTTGGAGGCTGAGCCTACCGGGGGCCCCATGAGCCATTTCATGAGGGTTACTTAAATTGCACTTTATCTGGCATTTGTAATTTGACAGTTGTGATTTTCATGGTGTTCCTGTGTGCTACTGTTTCAATGTGATTTGTTAGCTGTCCTAATCTCCCTGCAAAGATGGGTAGGATAGAAATAGGAATATATTTACATTTAATTTAAATAAATATCAACAGGGGTCTTGGCTTGCCGGCTGATTTTGCGAGTAGCATCACCAGGTACTTCAGCTACACCAAGCACTGGGTGGACTGCTGGGAAAGTCAACAGTTTTGGATGGGGCACATGGTCAGGAGGAATTAAGGAATTAATTAATTAAGCCTTGAGCCTGAAGGCGCCTCTGATTTCCCCCGGCCTTGGGCGGCAGCAGGATCTGTCCCACAGAGACCAAAGCAACAGGTTCCAATAGAGCTTTGCTACAGAAACGTGCAGTCGCTCTTGTAATCAGCTGCAGCATGTGATGCGAAGGGGATGGAAACCCATCACGTGATGTTTTCCAAGGATGCTCAGAAGCATCTGAAGATAGCCCAGCCTTTGGTAACAAAGGGATGAAAGAAAGAAGAGAGATTTTAGGATAGGCCGAGTCCATCCGCTTTCATCAGCTTAAGCTTCGGTATCAGTTGGCTGTGACCCTATCTGGACAGAGATAGCCTGGAGACACTCAGCCACCTTCGGGTCAGTTCCCAGAATGGATGACCACTCCATGATGCAGCTGATGGCACGGCAGAAAGCTGGAAAACCTGCGCGACTGCCCAAGAGAGCTGCTAGGCTGCCAGCTGGGCTGGGCTGATATGACCATGGATAATGGCACTTCTTCAGCTGCAGAGGCTTCTAGGCTGACTGAAGCCAAAGGGCTGGTGCTGACCCTTAAAAGCCTAGGAGGCCTTTAGGGCCAGAATAACGCAGGGAATGTCCTGCCCTTGACTTGCCTGTGGAGCCCTGAGGCCATCTTCCGAGGCCGCCACCTCTTCCGCGGTGGCACCCCATTTGTATTTTATATTTTTTATTTATTTTATATTGTTAATTTTAATTTTATATTGTTATTTTTGTATTTTATTGTATTTTATTGCATTGTAAGCCGCCCTGAGGCTTCGGCAAGGGGCGGCATAGAAATGTTATAATAATAATAATTATTATTATTATTATTTTTATTATTTGTGGACTCTCCCCCCTAACAGGTTTGCTTGTGTCTCCTTTGCTATACTTTTGGTGCCAGGCTTTTCTTTTCTCCCAGGCATTCTACATTTTAGGCTTTGTGACTGGTTGATCTATTTTATTTCTGTTCCCCTGTGTTGTTCTAATAGAATCTTATTCTTTTAGATTTATGCACTCTGTCCAGAGAATCTTAGTTACTGGGCAGATTAAAAACAGAGCAAATGTCAGGGCTATGTGCGCATAGGTGATGGTGGCGCTAGGTGAACACAGAAAAGAATGTCAGGGACTGGTTAAGCCTTAGAAGCCACCAGGAAATGGACCAGAATTCCTGGGATTAGGCAAAATCGTCTGTAAATCTTCCAGCCCCTCCTCAAGCAGGTTATATTACCAGTCTGGTGGGAGGTAGCATGAGGAACTTCCTGAATTCCTGCAGGATTTACAAGGGCTCAAAATACATAGCTTTAAACGCTGTCTCACTGACTTGGTGGGTAACTGTGGGCATCATTCAGTGCGCTTTTATAGCACACTAATAGCACAGGAAGATCTGGAGAACCCATGGGAACATGTGGGGTGGCTGGCATTTGGGAGTCTCCATGGGACTGTACTACGTGCGGGATGCATTTGGGGCTGCCGGTATGAAGACTCCCCAAATCGGTCTCTCCTTCACAACATTAATGTGTCGTAGGAGGCGCACCAGCTTTCCTGGAATTTTGACCCGGCCTCCACCAGGCCCTCCAGAGGTGCGGTCGCCTGCGGAGGAACATCCGGGCTCATTGCCGTGCGGAACGGATGAGAAAGGGGTCTTACTTTTGCAGGTGGGGACGCTGTTGCTCCACAGGCCGTCCTTCATGCACTCGATCTGGAACGTTTCACTCTCCACGTCATCCTGCAAGGGAAGGCAAAGGGCAGAAGGGAATGTTGCTGCCCAGGGACAAGCGGCTGGCAACCATGTGCAATGTTTGCCCTGCCGTGCCCCCTCCTTTGCACTTTGGGGTGCCCCAAGATGCCTATGGGAAGGCTGCAGGGCTCGAGGGCACAGGCTTCGTTGGTCTGCTGCCGGGTACAGACCAGAGGAGAACGGGGTGGGGCCGAGGAGGACGTCCCTCGGGGTCCTGGGCCTCCCGTTGAGTCGAAGGCAGACCTGCGTGATGCCGTGCCGGGCCTCTCTGAGCCCAGCCCAAGCAACCATTGCTTTTGGGGCAAGGTCAGCTGAAGCCAGTGGCGCTGAGCCCTCAGCTGGTTCCCAAGAAGCTCTGAGCCGGTCGCTGGGAATATACCTTGATGACCTTGAATCCCGTGTTGCAGCTGATGACCACCTGGTCCTTGAAGGTGTACGTTGCCTGGGAAGGCTCGAGTTTGCCGTTGAGCGGGGGCTCCAGCAGTGGGCATGGGTCCCCTATGTCAGAGAGCGGATAAGGAGAGAGTGAGTGAGAGAGAAGGGTGGAGAATCCCAATTTAAAAAAAAAAAAGGGGGGGGATCCCAATTAAGGAAAAATCATGGTTTTCCTAACATGGAATTCCCAGCCAAGTGACTGCCTCATCCAACCATGGAGACCATGACACCCCTGCAGTTTGAAATGGATCCATGCATTTATTGTATTTCTATCCCAGCAGGTTTCTTCTTTGGCTTATAACTTGCCTTTCCACCCAGACATGGTGCTGCGTAATAGCAAAACCACACCTTAATTGAGAACTCAGCCCAGGACGGGTGGAAGGAGAGCAAGTTCGTGCTGGCGTGCCGGCCTGGGATTCCAGGGGTGGGGCTGCCATGGATCTGGCCATAGGCGGCTCAGTTCTTCTCACCCCCCCCGACCTTTGAAGTTCTCTCGACATAACCGAGCTCGTGCAGGTATGTAGCGTGCAAAATGCGCAACCGGCTAGCCAGCAAAGCGCAAGCACACCGCACAGGGGCAGAATTACCGATTGCCGTGTAAGCGAGTCGCCATCCTCCATTTTCTCCTGAGTTGTCACTGTGGAACAGGATCTGGACGCTGTTGCTACGGGTCTCGATACGGCCTGGAGATCGTTCTCCACAAAGAGGTCCAAACTCCTGAAGCCCAGCTTTGATCTGCCAGGGAGGGTGAGCAGAGGAACAGTACAGGGGCTGTTCCTTGTTTCTCTCCACCCACCCGTCCCTCTCTCCTCCTAGCCCCAGGATGTGGTCTGAAACGCACAAGACGGCCGACAGTGCCCAGAAGGGAAACCTCTACATTCCCAGGCGCAGCAAGGGGGTCGTGCCGCTGAGAAGATGGACACATTTACACTGGGCTGAGCTTCTGGGGTTGTCGTCCACTTTGCCGGTGGTACCCAGCTGGGCAACAGAGGAAAGGTGGTCTGGAAATGCATGGGGTGGAAAGCTATCGGACGATCTAAATGAGTGCGATTGAGGCAGGTGCAGGATGGGTGGGCCCCAGACCCTCCTGACTCAGACAAGGGATGCCGTGATCGTGTTCAGGAGAGGCTCGCTTGGTCCAAGCCCACGTTTCCTCGGAAAGGCCGGCTTGGAATGCTGGGGACCACGGATGTCCGTGAGAAGATCGCCCTGGTCAAATGCACGCCCTCCGTCTCCCAGCTCTGCCTGGCGACCCAAGCCTTTCCCGGTTGTCCCTGCTGGTAGAACACGGGCATGGGTGGGCCATAAGGCCCCAGAGAGGCCAAAATCGGTGCCACGTTGCCAGGCCTCCTTGTCTGGGGCTGCCCCAGCACAAGGCGCAAGGGCCGTCACGTCCGGGCTACTGGACGCTCCTATGAGTCACAGCAGTATCTCGCCTGCGGCCTCCCGGGCAGGACGATCTCTTTGGCATGACTGTGGCTCCCTGAGGTGTAGGGTGGCCACATGTCATCTTTTCAGAGGATGATCCTCTGTTTGCAGGCAACCTTTAGTGGAATGGCGTCTGGTTTAAAGGCAGACGGTAAAATCTAGAGCAAGTCCTTCTTAAGAGAGGCTGGTAGAGCGACAGTCTTTGCTCTCCTAGAACCATGGAATAGCAGAGTGGGGAGGGGCCATGAAGGCCATCCAGTCCACCCCCTGCTGGTGCTGCTCGACGTAGGTCTTACGCTGGATTTTGTCCCGTAAACCATAAGAAGGGAGAACAGAAGAGACTTACTCGGCACATCAAGGGCTAGCGCTCGGGCTCCCACACCCCTAGAGCACCATGTGCTGGTATTCATATTAGCAATTATAGTAATTATTTCTAAATGTGCATCATTGATTAAGAAGGTGCACGTCCACCTTCTATGCAGCCCTGTGCTCTCCTGGGTCCACTCTTTTGGGCAGTGCAGGGTCTTTGGGGCCGTGAGCCCGGCCACCCAGCCGAGCCTTGCTGGGCGAGAGCCTTTCTCTCTGAGGCTGAAGCGGGGGGTGCTCTCCTGGGCCTAACCGATGCCTTCTGCCCACAGGTCTCTCTGCAGGAGCTCAGCTCTGCGGCTCCGCTCCATTGGACTGAAATTTGGCCCGGGGTGAAGCGACGCCACACCCAAAAGGGCCACCAGGGCAGATTATCGTGAAGGCAGACATCTTGAGTGGGGCAGCCCTCAAAGTGACAAGGCGGTGCAGGCAGAGGGCCGAAGCTAAAATATTTGCTTCTGCCAGTGTGGGACACATGGATATGCTGGGGAAAGGTGCCAGGGTATTCTCACAGGAGGATAGCAGCTTCCCCACTCCCACTCGCTCCCGTCCCCATGCAACACGGGTAAGGTCCACCGACTCACCTTTATGTAGTCATACGGACAGGTGACCTCCGGGTGATCTTCAATGTCGAAGTTGTCCTCAAACTGCAGGGTAATAAAGAAGCCTTCTTCCAACTCGATGCGGTACAAGCAATCGGAGCTCTTTGGGTAGGAATGGGGAAAGTCCGGGCTGTTGATCACTCCATTCCTCTGAACAAAGAGGTTGTCGCTGCATTCCACTGTGACAAACACAAGGCAGGGACAGAGGACATTCTGGGGAAGTTGTGGCTGATGGGGTCACTCCACCCAGAATTAGGGAATGGGGCACATCCACCCATTCTGTTGTGCCCGTGGCCCAACGGCCAGAAATGAGGAGAAATGTTCTTTTCCAGATCTGGGCAGGCCTACGAATCTGCCGTCTGGAAACGAACGCTTCCGCTCATCTCTGGGCTTTCGGGAAGGCTGTGTGCCAGAGTCTGGCTGGTGCATGGGCAGAAAAGGGTACGGCCCACAGCGTTCAGGCAGCATTCCTGAAGCCTAGGGAAAGGCGGCGGAATGTTATTCTTGGAGAGGACGTTGCTCCACAGTGCTAGTCTGGGAGGAAAGAAATGCATCTCGCCGGTCGTGTTAGCAGCTGCTTCCGCTGGAACGGGGCCATATTGTACCGATCGCAAAGCTCCAAAGAACTGTCCTGGGGGCTTCTTTATCCCCAGCACTCACCGAAAGTGCAATTAAAACCCACGCAGACACCGTCTGGCCATGCAGTGGGCACATGGCCCCTTTTGCCGTGGGCGCTCCTCTGTTGGAAGGGCTGCTCTATCCAATTCTGGTTTAAAGAAGATTCTAAAAAGGACTTGCCCATCCAGGTGTAGCACCTGGGCAGCAGACCAGACAGGTAGGCACACAGCTCACCTGGTCACAGTCTTCCACGCTACGTTGAGATGCCCTGTATCGCTACTTTAAACTCGCGACTATTTGCCGGCTCTACCTCTGTACATAGGAATTAGCATATAACCGTTTTATGCAGATCGGCGCCCTCCTTTTTGCAAACGCTTTTCTTCTCTGTTTGGGCGGCTCATGTGTGGATGCCGCTCTTGGTTGTGCTCTCAGGCTTTTCATGCCTCGAACAGTCACTACGACAATCTCACACACGGCTCCCTCCGTCCCCAAGAACTAGAAGCCGTGGGTGAAGAAGAGGGTCGGAACCTCGGGTAGCTCAGAGCCCCGTAAAGTGACCGTTGTGCAAAGCCAAAGCTCATCCTTGGACCCGGGTTCAGATGCCTGCACAGCCTTGAGCCACTCAGGCTAACACCAAAGGGCTGTTTTTGCGAAGGGGGAAACGACTTCTCTTGCACAGTGATCGGGATGCTAGCCTGGTCCGTCCATGAAAAGCAAAAGTTCTTTACCTTAAAGCACCTGCAAGCTGAATAACTGAATGTCTTCAGATGCTGAGTCTGTCCCAGCTCCTAATGCATCTCTCTGCCAGCGTTTGCGCAAGGTGCAGCCAAGGTGGGGCCCAGAGCTCTGTGGCTCAGCGTGGCGTGTGGGACATGCTGCAGCGCATTCCCAGCATCTCCGCCCAGGCGCCACCGGAGACCTTGCAGGGCAGCTGCCCCTAACAGCAGGCTGGGTGGACTAGCCTGGCTGCACCTGAGGCTGCATCTTACGTGTCTTGGCAAGGCCCGTAGCTCAGTGGGGGAACCTATGCCTAAGGGGCCAGTGATGCCTAGCGGGTGGAGTGCTGGACTGGCACATGGGAGAGCCGAGTTCCAGTCCCCACTTGAGCATGAAACTGACTGGGTGACTCTGGGCCAGGCACTGACTCTTAGCCTAACCCACCTTGCAGGGCTTTTGGGAGGATCAAACAGAGAGGAGGAGGTCTCTGTGGACTGACTAAGGATCCTCGCTGGGACTGGTCTGCACAACTGGGAATGCTCCAGCCGCACAGGCTGGTCTGCCGGGGGCCCAGCCCCACGTCTGGCCATCCTGGGCACACCCCTGCCAGCAGAACCGGAGGTTTTTACGACAGCGCTGGGCTGGGCAAGTCCTTAGCTGCTCTAGCTGAGGCTGAGCGAACTGGAGGCTAGTGCTGCACCGACAGAGGCTTCTGAGCGGCCCTCCCGTGAGGGGCAGCACGGCCGTACCTTTGCAAGTCCTGTTGTCCGAGTGGAGGATGTAGCCGAACCGGCAGGAGCAGTAGTACCCCCCGATGTAGTTGTGGCAGTGATGGTCGCAGGCCAGCTCTTCGTCACTCTTCTCCAAGCACTCGTCCACGTCTGCCAGGAGACAGGAGAGAGGAACACGCGCGTGAACTGGTGGGCCAGATGCAGCTCCCCCGCAGGCCACATCCAGTACGTGGGCCGACGTTCCCCATGCCTGTTGCAAGCAACTCTCCTTCCCGGTCGCCACAAGATGCAGCACCAATTTGGATGGCTTCACAAGAGGATGGGGCAAATCCGTAAAGGAGAAGATGCTACTGCTCCCAAGGGAGATATGGTACCTCCTGTATCAGAGGCAATGCACTTGTGGCTGGGGAACATGGTTTAGTGGGTGCTGTTGCACTTGTGTCCTGCTTGCAGGTTTTCCAAGGCAGCTTTGGGCCACTGGGCCGAGAAGATGCTGGGCTGGATGGACCTCGACCCGATCCAGCCGGGCTCTTCTGATGTTCTTCTGCTTCCTCTCCCAGTTTGACATAGTGGCCACCACACGCGTTACAGCTCTTGGGATCTCAAGGCTGGGCTGACTGAGCAGCGTTGGTTGCAGGAGGCCTCCAAGGCTGCTCAGGAGCTTTGGCCAAGGATGAACCAAGGCCTGGTGATTTGGGGAAGGGAGCCACTGGGCCCAGGGTATGGGCTAAAGGCACACGAGGCCTCCACCATCTTGAAGCTGAGCAGGTCTGGGGCGGCCTGAGCTTGGAGGGGAGACCAGCTGGGAATCACAAGCAGCTGCCTTGGGTGCCACAATGGGAGAAAGGTGGAATATACATATAATAAATGCACAAAGCATTGGTGTTCCAGCATTTGCAGAGACTTCCTAACGGATTGTAAGCATAGATCTGGGCTAATGCATGGATCTATGAAGTTAATTGATCTCTCATTTACGGCAGCATTTCCCACAATGGGGAAAAAGCTCTCCTTGGTGCTGATGAAGCACACACAGCGAAATAACAATAATGCCGTTGTTAACAGATGTGACAACACTTCAGCGCGAAAGGCGGTGTTGAAAATATCACAATACTATGAGCGCCAGAATCACAGGAAGTGAACTGGGAAAAAGAAGACTCGTTGAATGCAGGCCGAAGGAAAGCAAAGAAAGGAGTCACCCAAGCTTGTGCGCCCCGGGTGTGTTTGTGTAGCACTTGTGCGATTCGTGGCCAGCAGGGATGGTGGTGGGGAAGCCAACGCACCTGGAGCGCACAAGGGTGCCTTGCCTGCGCTGATGGAGAGCGCGTTTTCGGCAGCCCGGCTCTTACATACCCACTGCGGCGAAATGGGCATCAAACCCCGTGAAGCGTTCCTCATTGGAGAAGTCTGATTTAAAGGTGACGCTCATGTACGAACTGGGGGACACGATGGGCTGCTGCCCCGGCGTCAGCTCTGTGTCGGTGGTCTCCCTTCCACAGAAAGTAGCCATGACCTGGTCTTCAGACTCGACCTGTGGGCGGTGGAAGAGAGACACCCATCACCCCGAAGCTGGCGGGATCACCTTGCTTCTTGGTCAGCTGCTGTGGGAGCTGCCCAGGTGAGGACTCCTGGCTGAGACCAGGTCACGGAGTCAAACAGGGTGACTCTGGGCCCGTCACAGACTCTCAGCCCAGCCTCCCTCACAGGGCTGTTGTTGTGGCCACACACTCACTGGGCGACACTGGGCTGGTCATGGACTCAGCCAGAGCTACTTCCCAGGGTTGCGGTGAGGACAAAATGGAAAGGAGAGATCTGCATTTGGAAGCAAATCCCTGATAAAATGACTTGCATTTTTATTGTATTTGTATGCGCTTCTGCAAACCACCCTGAGAGCTTTAGCTACCGTGCAGTACAGAAATAAATATATAAAGAGATACTCTGAGCATGTGCAGCTGTGCATTTTCAGCTCGCACCAAAATAAGCGTCGGAAGGACCACCTCCTGCCGCTCGCGGGGTGGTCCTTGCGGCCTGGCCCGGACTCCCCCACTGCCCCCTTGTCCCGTGAGAAGCACCACCGGAGGGGCTGCCACGTGGTGCTGCTGCGTGCCGAGACTGGGCACGTGCCTGCTCTCCCCAGGCCCCTTTAGCGGCCGCCCCGCACTGCAGAGACGCCCTCCTGGGGCTGCTTCTCCCCGTTTGATCCTTGCAGCCTTGGGACTTGCAAAGCGCTTCCCTGGGCTGACGGTTCCGTGTTCTTCCTCTCTCAGATTTCAGTGAATCAGTTCCCATCTTTTTCACATTTGCTGCTTTTGATAACTTGGTATTTGCTCTTTGAAACTGAGTTTGGTTGCTCATTCTTTTTTGAAAGTGGATTCAAGTAGAAATTGGATTCGATTGTGTTTTGTTTCGTAACTGCGCATGTTGCCCTGAAAGCTGCCCTCGTAATTATATTAATGAATAATCCAGAGTCGGACTGTTTCCACCTTGCTTCTTGCATGGCTGAGTGTCCACAGGACTGTTTACAAAACTGATAAGGGCTTTCTCTGACCGGCAGTTTCGAGCAGAAATCAGACAGAAAATGTGTTTGCATCAGATTGTGATAATTTGGTCATGAGAAAGGAGGAAGAACGGGGCAGGGGGCCACACTGGCCCTGCCAGAAGGTTCGGAAGACCTTCTGCACTGGGAAGAAAACCCTGAGTAAGAAGAGTGGGGCGTGGGCAGAATTCGCACTATTAAATGCTGCTGGGCAGTTCACAACAATCCATAAAACTTGGCAATAAAGTACAATAAAATATCAAATATAAAACATTAAAACAGCAAGATGTTATCAATAGCCAAAACAACAAAGAAAGACTAGATGACACATGGGGTGGGTACTCCCCCTTAGCCCCCCCGGGAGTCCAAAAAGTTCACCCACCATGCACCCCAAACCGCAACCACCAGAAAGCGGAGCTGAATGAAAAACTAATCCACAAGGCTTGAAATGCTGATCTGAGAAAAGCCGGGCAGAACAGAGAGATTCTGGCTTGGCACTGACAAGACGGCAAAGCAGGCATTGGGCCTGTGGACGGTTACACACTGCCAAAGAGGGAACGGGAAAATCACTGCTAAAACCGAGGGCCAGACAGCCAGTTAGGAGACATTTGCATATGCAATCTGCAGGTGCAGGTTTAGAAATGATATATGGCGTTTAAGCAGAAATATAGGACACCCCACCATGGTGGAGCAGACCGATTAGGAGGCCGGTGAGCCTGCTTAGTCAGCTCTCCGGGTCCACAGGAATCCTTTGCGCAGAGGACACCCCCCGCCCGATGCCTGAACAGAGGACTGTCGTCTGTGGAGGGGAGGAGGTTGCTGCAGAGTCTGGCCTTCCTTCCAGACTTCTGACTGTGAGGGCTCATGGGCTTTGGTGGCCCACCGAAGATGACCCAAGAGTGTGGGCCGCTGCGTACCCCACGGAGAAGGTGTGCTGAAGCGTGTGTCATTTGCAGACGACACGCCCAGCAGAGTAGGGCTCAAGTGAGACAAGGAAAGATAACTTCCTGCAAAGCCAAGCCAAGCCAAGCCCTGCCGGGCTCCGTTGAGCCCACATGCTGTCCCTGCAGGAAATCCACAAGGCACATGAGCGTAACGCCCCTTTCCCCCAGGAACGGTTGCACCTAGGATAGTGCCTCTGATACTGGAGGCAGCATGTGGTCATGAGGACTAGCAACCAGGCTAGCCTTCCCCTCCGTGAATCAGTCAATCCTCCTTTCAAATGCGTGCCCATCCATCCCCATTGCTCAGCAACCCACTTCATGGGACGCCCCGGGTTCTCATATGCACAAGCTGAGATTTCCTTGCAGCCCCGTCCACTGGCTTCCACGGAGCTGCATTTGCTGCCCGGGCTCCCAGTTTGGAGAGCGCGGCCTGCCTGTCTTGTGAACGCACTTGCAACGGCCGCTTGGCCATGCCAGGCTCCCCCACACGCCCTGCATGGATAAATTAAGTGCTAGGACATTTATGTGTTGTCAGACTGCTGGGGCAGCAGCTCCTGCTCTTTCCCCAATTCCTTACGCAAGTCCAGCCTCGCTTGCAGACACCGTGCGGAGGCAGGAAGAGCCTTCATTTGTGCTGGTTTGCAGGCCACAGCAGAAGGGGAAGAAATATATGTTCCACATTAGCCGGGCTACAATACTTCTTTCATACAACAGCTCTCGCTCTTAAAGGGCTGCCAGCCGCCTCAAATCCTTGGGATGAAGCAGCCCCATACCCCAACTAATAAAACACAGCAAGGCCCTGCAGTTTCCTGGAAGGAAATGAACCTTCCTGGGTAATTTAGGCAGCAGCCAGTCCCATGTGGTTGATCCGGGGCAGAGCGGTTCAGGGAACAGACCCACTTTGAATGGTGCCAAGTCTGCAGTCTTCCAAGGCGCCCACCACACCCTGCGCAAACCATCTCCCCCCCCCCCCCCCCCGTCTTGCCACGGATCTGGAAAAGAGAGACCCAGGCCTGCTGTGGCATCGATGGAGAACTCTTACGCAGCCACGCGAGACTTTCCATCAGGTTGTCTTAATTATTTCTGCTTAGGAGCAGCTGATGACAGAGTTGCTCGGGATGCAGGAATAATACTTTCCATCAAGTTAGATTATTATCTTTAAAAATAGCTGCATGGTGAAGCGAGACGGAAGCTCATGCAATCGTTGAGAAAGACAATTCTGAGAGATGCGTTATTATCTGGGAGGGGACGGAGCGCAGAGGCTTTGCAGTTCAAAAGCCAGATTGTGGCTTCTCCGCTCAGAAGCTTGAATGTGGCGTCTCGGGCTTGGGTCGCAGTCCAGCCATGCCGTGGCCACTGAATTTCAGCGGGTTCCCTGATCTCTCTGCTTCAGTCCCCAGTCCTTTGGCCTTTGGCGCATCACAGGAACATGGCCCCTGAAAACCATTCAGCAGCTGATTCATTTTATTTTTCACCACCCAATCTCGAAGGAGCTCAGGAAAGCAAGCCCGTTTCCCTGCATATTATCCTCACAGCAACCCTGTGAGGGAGGTCAAGCTCACTGCCTGCTCCCAGGCCCCCCATTCAGCAGCATGGCTGCATGGGGATTTGAACCCGGGTCTCCCTGGCAGGGTCTAATCACTGCTTTCCATGATTCCCAATTGCAACTTCCCTTCCCTGTTTCCTGCCACAGCAAATTCAGTCACTTTTTGTGTGTACCAGGCTTGGATTTCCTCCTTCAAATGCACATAAATAGCACACTGGATTCTGCAGATCTCCTTCACAACCTTAAAAAAAGTGTGAGAAGATGAGCTCTTCTAAGCAAAGATAGTTTGTGTTTTCATTTAAAGGGCGCTGGGCTTACTCTCCCTCCGGGCGCACTCCAAATGTTCACGTCAGCCCACAAATGCTGTCATTTTTGCAGCGTTCCCGCCTGCTGCCGCCTGTGTTCCATTCCATCGTCAGATGCATGAAATGTCATGCCAAAAGACATTTGAGCAGAAATAAAACAGGCATTAGAGGCCGTCTCCACGCTCTTTGAGAAAACAACGAGGTCGGATCTCGCCTCTGGCCAGGGCCGCTCCTCCCACGAGGCAGGGCGATTCCCCCACTTCAGGCGTCAGCGCAGAAGGGGTGGCCAGCGGCACCTTTCCTCCCTGCGAGCGTGGGTGGCTGCCCGCCCGGCAGGGGCACTTCAGTGGGGGCTCCCGCTGGTGACAGGCAGCGCCGCTCTCCCCGCAGGCGTCTGCAGCAGCGGGGCCCGCGTGGTCATGCAGCAGGACTGGGCACTCTGCAAGGCTTCTGGGACGCCCCCCTGCCCTGCTCCGCTTGGGGACGGCTGCTCGGTGCTCCTCCGTCTGCGCTTGCCCCCCGCTGCCTCCTGCCCCCGCCTGCAGCCTGCCCTTCTGCGCTCGCCCTGGCCTGGCCTTGCTCTTGGCCCTGCTTGTTTGTGCTGGTATCAGGCCCCAATCTGCCTCTGGACCTGGCGTTCGGCACTGGTTCTGCCGCACCGTGTTGGCATCAAATCCTCCCAACCTCTCCCAACCTCTGAGCTGCACGCTTGGTCCATTTCTGGCCCTCGCGCATCCTGGTTCTGCCTTTGCTTCTGGACCTGCCATGCCTTGCTGGGTGTCCAACCCTTGCTTCCTCCTGACTTCCCTTCAGTCTCCGGCCCCTCAGCATCCCCAGTATCCTCCATCACCCCTGGGCCTGGTGTTCCAGCTGTGGACACCAGCTGTCCATGCCCTGGGCCTGCCATGGGCAGTCCTGGGATTTTTCTGTAGCTTTTAAAATCATTTCTGTTATTTTATCGCTGCTATAAATGTTTATTAATTGCATATTTTCATTTTGCCTTTTAATACTTTGACTTGTAAACCGCTTAAAGAGTTTGTCAGCTCAAGTGGTATACAAGTTTTTTAAATAAATGGGATGGGATTTATAGCTTGGAGTGCACTAGGCTGGGAAAGGTTGCCTGAGACCGCTGGCAATGCTGGTTAGGTATATGGGACTTGTAGCCCCACACATTTGAATGACACCAGGTTCCCTAGTTTG